CACTCTTTCTCCCCTGCATAATGAAATGCTAGAAGATAAATTGTTTTACGTGTTACCATAGGAACATGATGGAAGGCTATTGAGTGGAAGACAACACGGTACAAAAGCTTATGAATTGGCAGCAGGAGCGAGGAGTTCAAAGAGAATGGTAGAATCAAGAATATCTGTAGCGTATTTTTTTTAATATTGGAGCTTGATTATCTGTAATCTTGAATGCTTTATTCTCTCTTCTCTCAAGCGGGCTGTGCTTTCAACCTGGAGCATCAATTCCCACCAGACAACAAGTGCAACCTGCTGTTGCAGAGGCTAGTTCTGTGGAGAAGAGACATGGGGCTGAGGGAGGTTGTTGAATTTCTGTGCTAAACTTCAGGAAAGCTGGAAGAGGAAGTGTGTATCTCATAAAACCGGTTGGACTGGGTGTTTTATGGTAGGACTGCAGCTATGTTCTTGAAAATTCTGTTAGAAAATGTAGAGAATCTTGGCCTTGTGAACAAGAATTCACTACCAGGATGCTATTAAGGGAAGAATTTGAATTAAACCTGAAAAGAATATGAGACAAAACTTAGTATTTTAGGGTATATCAACTGTAAGTTATTACTTATATGGTGATCTGAGTTCCTTGCTTTTCAGCAAACAGTTTAGTACAGAATGTAGAAACTGTGGTATAGCGGTGCAGATGTTCTGTTCGTGCCGCACGTGAACATCACGTGGCCTGATGATCTGTTCCCCCACCCCCCGGTTTCCCATCAGCAGATATACTCAGGTTGCTAGACTGTGACGTCTTCTAGCTGTAAGGGAGGCTATCTGAACTCCCCACTGGAGTTTCATTTCCTTATGAAGTATTATTGACTTGTTATGGATGATATCATGGCAAAGTTTAGGAGAGCATCTTCATAATGGCTTGAGGCAGTGCAGAAGAGGCTCCCTAGACACCTGGACTCTGTGGTGCATGGAAGTATAAACACAGCTTGTTAATTTTTCACATTGCAATGGGCAAATTGAGGAACTGTAAATCTAGTAATGGATATTGTAGTGCGTTATGGATTCTCTTTCCAAATCTGCCACTGACTGTTGGCAGTATTGTTTTCCTCCACCCTTCAAAAACAAAAGGGGAGTGGGAAGGCAAACTCCCTAGTAAGCTGTATAAATGGGAGTCTAGTTCATAAGACTTTGCTGCAGTGGAGGAAAATAAGGCTTCAGCTGCGATACTGTGTCCGTTTTGGGGCAAACCACCTCAAGAGAAGTATGAACTAGCTGGAAAGTCAGCAGCAAGAATGATGCAAGGTCTGGGAAAGGTGACTTCTGATGAAAGATGGGCGCGCCTACAGTCATGTAGTCAAGAGAAGGATGAGGAGGGGCCTGCTGACAACTTTCAAAAGTAATAAACCGTTGCAAAGGGGAAGCTGATGAATCTCACGTCTGAGGAACTGGATGAGATACCAGTGCCTTGCACTTTGGTTGGACATCTAAAAAGTTTTGAACATAAAGACAGCTAAGCATTGGCATAGACTGCCTACCATCTATAAAAATGGTTTTGACAAGTGTTTATGGGAGAGGTTTAGACTTAGTTGGCCCTGCTGCGGGAGCTAAGGGTAGACTAGGTGATTTCTCAAGATCCTTTCAGACCTACTTTCTGTATTTATGTGATGATGGGTAAATTACATAAGCTGTCTGACTCAACTTGCCCAGTGCAAAATGAATTTAGTAGTTGCTCCTTACGTGGCAGTACTGACAGACTACAGTAAAAGATATGTGGAGAGTTTGAAAGATCCTTTGGCTATTACTGCTTCACAGCACCAGATACTCGGGGGCATTTGAATCTCCAGCTGCTTCACCTGAGCTTCCCCCTTCCTTGGAGGGCGTGTACCTGCCTGAACTTAATTTTAAAAATATAAAAGTTTATGTTAAAATAGAGTACGCTTCTTGCTCACATTTACATCTATCTATTATTAGATTTTTTTTTCCCCCTCTTCCAAGCAATCCTTATTTGCGCATCTACCCTTGACTGTTTGCCTTTTGCATGGAACAGGAGCTCTCGATTCACACTGGAATATATTAGTAGGCTGAGAACAGTTTACACAAGTAAAAAGATTGCCAGAATCCACAAACCAGATTAAATGACCAGTCCTAGTTTCTCAGTGCTAGAAGCTTTAAACACACTGATATAGAAACGTGGCCTCCTGTTTATTACCTTCAGAGTGCCCTGTTCTTGGTTTTCTGCAAGTGGTGCTTACTTCATTTTTACGGCAAATTCTGTGCCTGTTTGAATAAGAATTAGGTAAAAATATGTTAGGCTGATAGAAATAGGGGAATGCTATGGATGAAGAATACTCTGGTTTTCGTTTCCTCCCTCCCTGCCGAAGGTCCAGAGAAAACAGAACTTGGCATATCCAAATGTTTGGTGAAAGTATAACGTGATTTTCTGTTCTTCTTTATCAGAGCAGATGCTTCTGCTGCACAACTTCTATTGTTCAAAGTCATGACTCTTCACCTTCTTGGAGTGTGGATAGTCAGCCTAAAATAGCCTTTGATGTGTCTCAAGTTATGTTTGATGTGTCTCAGTTACTATGACCTTGAATTACTATGACCTTGACTTCATAATGACCTCAGGAGAAATGTCTTTGTCATAGTGAAATAAGGACTGTGAATCCCATCCTGTTAAAGAAAGGAAGAACTTACTTTGCTGTTGTGGCAGAAGTGCTTTGTCATTCTGGCTAAGGAGAACTGGTTACAGTCCAGGTTTCCTCTCAAAATGCTGAAGAACGCAGTCAGAGTATCCTGTGTGTGCTCTTACTGCAGTTCCTGAAAAGAAAAATAAACTAATTTCACCACTAGGAGAGAGACCTCTCTTACATCTCATTTCCCCCCTTTTTTGAGTAGCATCTGAAAGCTAGACTGTTAATATCTTTAATTATTTTGTTAGCTTTAACATTGAACATGCTTTGATAAATAAGTTGAAAGAAATCAGTCTCTCAGTGTGGACGCTTTCATTTCTTGACAAGAGTAATCTGTAAATAGATCAGGCCCCTGCTGTATCAAGCCTCACACACAGAGTAGCATACAATCTCCCACAGACTCAAGAGACAAGTTAGTAAAGAGCAGTATGTAGAAATCAGTACAGATAGGATGTACCCTTACTGTAGCACTGAGGAGATGGACAGGTCTAAAAGAGAAGATGTGCTCGCTGTCCACTGGAAACTAAACAAAACACGTTTTTCCTTCTTTGGTCCCTAGACTCGCCACATATCTGAGGCCCGTGTGTAAATGTGTGTCCTGTTGAGTGCTTGCGCTTTGTCAGAGTTTTTAAAAGCAGAAACTGCTTTGAAGTGCAGCGGTGCCTTGATTCCAAACCATTCTGGCCTGTGGGCAACAATAAAGAGCGAGGGGTGTGCCCTCCCCGACAGGGACACAGGGAAAGCAGAACGCAGAATTGTGAGCATCCTCAGGAGATCTCGTGTTGCCTGCAGGCCATGGGTTAACCTTCAGCAGTATAGCGGCTCTCATTGTTGCGCAGAGAACGAGGCATGAAGAAAAACGTGCGTGCCATAAAGTAACCTCCCTTGTATCTTAGAAATAAGATGTGAGCAGTTGAATCAAATCTGTGCTCTGGTAATTCTGGAATTAGCAACCTGACTGCTCTTCTGCTGGGGGAAAGGCTATATGCCCTCCAGGCTTGGCTGACATTGACTGATGGCCAGTTAGTTTGTCTCCCTAAAGCATGCTTTATTTGAAAACTACTTATTAGAGCTTATTTGATACTTAAAAGGAAAATGTGACAGCTATATTTAAGAATGAATCCCTTTTCTATCTGATGAGTTCTTGCATGCTTGGCCTCCATGCATGACCTGTTTTCTTGATTTTCTTGGAGTACTCACTAGTGCTTAGCTCTTCACTCATAAAAGCTGTGCTACAGAGGACGTATCCTATTCGGTTTGGGTGTCTGTACAATAGCATGATCTTATGTAGGTGTATACGTAGGATTTAAGGGTATTTTTTTTCCCCCCACCCCCATTAAGTCCTTAACAGCTCTTTTTTCAGTCATGTGTTCTCTTTTCACTGACTGGGTTGGGTAATCTGTTTCTGAATGCAGGTGAAAGAAGCAGTGAAACGTGCCCTAAGTGTGGGTTATCGCCACATTGACTGCGCAGCAGCTTACAGCAATGAAGCAGAGATAGGTGAGGCTTTCCAGGAATGCGTTGGGCCCAACAAGGTAAAAAACACAAAAAGCCGCCACACTGGCTATACGTGTTATTAAAATTGTGTTATTAAAATTGACATCTGTAACCTGAAAACTGACTATGAAGTTAGCATTTTGAAACTTTTCTCCTAGTGTATCCCAGCTGTTTGGTATTACTTACCAGGAGGAGACATGAAAGAAAGCTTTCTCTGTTCTACCATTGTACTGGCTGTGAGGAGGAAGAAAAATTGTCCAGAATGTTTGCGTGGAAGCTAAAAAAGAAAAAAAAAAAGCCTTTTTTGATTCCCTCCCCCCACCAAAGGTATCCTGGTTTGAGTATCCTGGTTTGGATACTCAAAAATCAGAGGTTCCCAGAATCACTAGTTATAATGGAAAATCTTTGCCATGATTTATATGAAAAGTTACCCTAGTTTGGCACTCTAGATCAGTACACAGTGTTGGCTAGCCATAGCATATTCAGTGACCGTGACTTTGTTGGTTATAAACCAAATATAAGTGAGTAAATAAGTAATTTTTTTTTTTTTAAACGGTGGTTGCATTTGATGCATTTGGTAGGTGTGACTGTAGGATCTACACCTAGAGTCCATGGCCTTCATGTAATGTGAGAAGCGTTCTCATGGATGACCTCAGGTGGAATCTCAAATTTGGCTCCTTGCTTTTGTTGGCCAAAGAAGCCAGGAAGCTTGCATATATAGTTTCTGGGAAATAAAGCTTTCATGTCTCTGCTTTCCGCTTTTCTTTCCTGTGCTTTAGGGCAAGCCCTTTGTTAAGTGATTAGCTCCAGAGAGGCTGTTTTCAGTTTGCCCCAGGAATTCCTTCCCACTCTGTAGATAGTGGTAACTAATGTAGGGAAGCAAAAGACTTTTTTTGTTGTTGTTTTTTTCCCAGTTCATATTAACTAGTAACTTAAAGCTAGAATTTTCATAATGTCTTTTTCTCTGAACACAACAGCCAGTATTTTAGACACAGAAATTAATCAGTGATGGAAGGAGTGACACTAAGGAATTAATCAATCCAGCCTCTACGGAGTATAACACTTCAGTGAAATTTTGGTTCTATTGAAGACGGCAAGAAATGCCCTCTAGTTTTCTGTGCTTCAGTATGCCAAATACGATCTCCCCTTTGCATTTTCTACTTCATGAATAGCTAACGTCATATTTCTTTCAGTTCTGGGCCTTACCCTCCCCATACAAGGTATAGGGCACTCAGTTCTTAGGGCATTCTTCCTAGAACTTAAAAAAAAAAAATCCAGAGGATTTAAAAAAAAATGCAGAGGATTGGAGAAGTTGTCTTTTGTTTTTTTCCACGTTCTTTCCATAAGAAGTATTCTTAGTTCATAACATGTAATGAGTATAGTAAGTTAGTTGGTTGTGCCTAGGACATGTGAACTGTGAAAACTAAATTACAAAATTTGCATAAGATTAACTGAATCTGGCTAGATCCAGCTTAGTAGTGGCTTTAACCCTTGAATTGGAGAGTGTAGAGAAGTATGTGTGGGTTTAGGTTTGTTTGTTCTGCGAAACTTCTAATAATTTACCAGAAGTATTTGGTATGCTCTAGGATTTGTTAATGTAAATGTATATTTCTCATTCCTGTTTTCCATCCATTTTTTTTCAAGGTTTAATTTGTGGGTTAAAGCTTTAAAACAAAGAAAGCAACTTAATTTAAAAAGTTAACTGAGGAATTGCTGCCGTTCTTTTTCTGAACTTGTTCCAGTAAACTGCACTCTCTTCCCTTTTTTAAAGGTTATTAAAAGGGAGGACCTATTTGTAACATCAAAGCTCTGGAATACCAAGCACCACCCAGAAGATGTGGAGCCAGCGCTTAGGAAAACACTTGGAGATTTGAAGCTGACTTACCTGGACCTGTACCTCATGCACTGGCCTCATGCCTTTGAGTAAGTTCTACCTGGAAAGAGCACAGAATGCAGAAACCGCAGTTTTACATAACTGGCTGATTTTATGTCCTGAAGAGCTTCTTTCTGAGCTGTATATTTCTTTGTGCAGATACTGCCTGCAAGATGTTTTTTAGACGTGGCTAACAGCATAACCCTACGGCCTGTTGTATAGGATCCTTTTCTTTTCTTCCCCATAATCTGTGCATTTATTCATTTTGGGATGAATTCACGTTCACAGAAACAACTGTTCCCTTCTCATTTCTGTTCTTTGAATTTGGTGGGAATTTGTTTAGTGTTAGAGTTGTTGCAGGTCTGGAAACACAGTGGAGAAGACAGATTTCTGTTACTGTACAGAGAGACTGTAGATAGAAAAGGGATAATTGTTCTCATTATCTAGCAATTATGAGCCCACAAAAATGGGTATTAAGTCTTTGTTTAAAATCCTTACGCTATTACTAAAAATTTTATTTAGCAGTGAGAAAACTAGGCACTGGAAATACGGTCACTAAACGTATGTCAGTTTGGTACAGATGCTAAAGTTAGGTAATCAGAAGTAGTCAAACTGTGAATTAGTAATAAAGTTTTATGGGACAGGTTTCTTTTCTGAATATTGTTTTAAATTCACTGAAACTTGCCATTTTATACCAGCTGAGAAGCTGGCTCACTGTGAGGAGAATTTTTCTCAAGTTAAAATACATTAGAAGTTTGAAACAGTCTAGTGTCTTCACCTTGGCACTGGGGAGCGTGTGGCTGCAGCTTGGTTCTGCCATTTATCTGCATGGTGGTCTTGAGGAATTCCCATCGCTGCTTTGTGCCTTTGTTTCTCATTTTTCAGATTAAAAAAAAAGTTAAGTGCTTCGTAAAGAAGACAACACTTCATACTAATAGATACTAACAGTATCAGAGTGGCCAAGCACATGTAATGTCAAGAGGCACTGAAGTGACCTCTCATGACACTTTAATTGCAGTAATTCTAAGATTTGAGGAAATAACAGGAGAACTTTCTCTTCTCATTGTATATAGTAAATGCATTATCCTGAAACCCTGACAGAAGCCAAGTTCATTATTTTCTTGTAACTGTGGAAGTAGTAAAATTTGGTTAATATCTTTTTTTTCTATCCAGTTAGAAAATTAAAGTTCTGCCTGACGGGCTATTTGCATGGAGACTTCACTCAGTTGGGCAGACCCTGTCAGATTCGAAGGAGCTTCAGTCTTTGTCCTAGAAATAAATAAATACATAAAAACAAAAAGTTTCTCACTTTCAGCCATCTTGTGAACTGAATTTTGCAGTGAACCACACCAGTGATAGGAGGAAAGACTTTTAAATTCTAAATATATTCTTCAGTGTAACAGAATGAGGAAATGTTTTAAACTAGAGCTGGTTTGGAGGAAGAATGTATGTTTAAAAATTCCCCTGTTTTGAAATAGGTTTATCTTCAGTCAATTCAAAAACCGTCGAAGCGTTGTTTGTTTGGGTGATAATATCACATAATATAAATAATGATGTGTATTTAGTTACTCTAATTAAAAATGACTTAAACTGCTCACGGAAACGAAAAGAGTTGCCAAGACTGGTATTTTTGTAAAGCAGTTTCATGTTTTCTCATTTAAAACTTCACCCTATTTTCCATTAGCTCTGCTTCAGTCTACTTCAATGCCTGAGTAGCTATAAAGTCTGCTATATTGAGAAACGGAGCTAAAGAATGTTACTTCAGTAGGAATTTAAAACAGACTTTTTCATGTTAAAATCATGGTGCCGCTAGGTCTAGAAAAGTGACCTCTCCTTTAATATACTGCTATTGACATATGAGATTGCTTTTCTGTATTAGGACCGCCCGTGTTTTTCTAAGTTATTTTTTGGTTCTAGATCTGTCAGCTACACGAACAGGAACCATGTCGCCTTGCTCCTAGCAGCTGCCATCTCTCACACCGTTCCCTGTGTAGAGGGATCTCTGAGATCCGAGCTAGCAGTGTTCCACGGTGGTTAGGAAGCAGTGCTTTCCTCCCCCCCCCCCCCCCTCCTTTTTTTACAGAGACCAGTCAGGGCCCTTTTACAGTGTGGGGTTGTCACCTGGCATAACCAAGTTCTTTGTTATTTTTATGGGCTGGCATGACTAACTGGAAACACACCTAACCTATGGGCAACGCGTACAAGTTAAGACTTCTGTGAGAATCTGCACTTGCATCCAGTGCTGACGCTGCTTCAGAGTCCGGAGGGAATGGGAAAGCTAGACTACATGTATAGCCTCTCCTAGATAGCCTTTAAACCAAGATCCGTTTGGTAGCAGCTTCAAATAGACTTTGAAGGATATCAGTCCTCCCACAAAAACAAATTGAAAAACAAAAGTTGCCTCTGAGTTGCTCCTCTCTAAACCAGCTGTTTTGCTAGGATCAGCGTTTGATGAGCTATTGCTTGTGTGCAGTGGCTGACTCATTTTGTGTAGTCACTGCCCTGTAGGTAAGTAGTTCCAAGTACTCTGTAACAAGTTTAAATAAGCAAAACAGTGTCTAAACCAATTTCCTGTAGGTTAAGTCAGCACACTGGAATTCAAAGGAAAAATTTTCTCATCTTGTAGGCTGCCTTGCAAACTCTGTAGACTTTTAAGGATATTTTAAAGAAAGGTTTTTTGTTTGTTCCTTGTGGATTTTTATTTATTTTTGGTGAACAACCAATAAAATAGAAATCATCATGCGGTATGTGCTTACAGTTTTTCTTTGATGCTGTAGACGAGGGGACAATCTCTTTCCAAAGAATCCTGATGGCATGATGCGTTATGATTACACTGATTACAAGGATACCTGGAAGGCTATGGAGAGGCTGGTAGAAAAAGGTCTTGTGAAATTCATTGGGCTGTCAAACTTCAATAGCCGTCAGATTGATGATGTACTCAGTGTGGCTACTGTCAAACCAGCTGTGCTCCAGGTAAGATGAATAAAGGAGAGGAGGAATTCCTTTCCTATGTTTGTCCATAGGAATGAAGAATTGCAAAGCACTGCTACACGTTTAGCACAAAGTGTTCAGCTTCTAATGTACAGGGAGGAGTACAGTTACCTCTGCAATGGAGTAAGCATGCGGGGTGGCCTTTCCAGATGGACAGATTCCTTTGGGAGAAGGTCTATACCCATGTCCTGTATCCAGAGAAAAAAACTGAGAGATTAACTTAACTCCTCCCCCTAGAGAGCTTCCTTGCTTGTTGGATGATCTACTGGATACCGGCGCTCTGCTAACTTATTTGAGCTATCCTCCTTTTGCTGTAATCTTAGCCTGCAAGAGTTTTTAATTCTCCCTGTGGTAAGTTATAGCCTCATAAGGTTTTCTAGAAATGAGAATGAACTCCTACGATGGCTTGGGTTCTGTCATGCCTTTCAGCTGCTGTTTGTGTAGAGCTTTGTGCTGATATCTTCTCACAGGGCACTCATAGTGGGTCACTTTAACAGGTGGAATGTCATCCCTATCTAGCTCAGAATGAGCTGATAGCTCACTGCCAGAAGCGAGGACTGGTTGTCACTGCCTACAGTCCACTTGGCTCTCCAGATCGAATGTGGAAACATCCAGATGAGCCCGTGCTTCTAGAAGAACCTGGGATCAAAAAATTGGCAGAAAAATACGGCAAGTCACCTGCCCAGATCATCCTCAGGTACACAACAGTTGAGAGAGGGTGGAATTGGACCTAGCCTTAATAAAGCAAACACCACAAGATAGAAGGGAGCTGCTTGTGATGTGTGTTTTTCCTCATTAGCGGGGAGTTAGAATCTCAGCACCAAAAGCCAACCCTGTTCAGGGCTTGTTCTACAGAGTTGATGGAGTTGATCCTGCCTTAGGGCAGGGAAATGGACTAGAGTAGAGGGATCCATTCCTGGGATGGTTTACTACCTTTTCTGCTGTGGGTTTGCAGTGGGACAGGAGGGAGGAGTCCTGTTAAGGTAGCAGCACACCAGGTTTGGGTACCTCCTGCTATATTTGCATGTGGCCAGTTGCTTGAACTTTAGAGCTCTTGCTACTGCATTCAGATGGGCTCTCGGGAAGAGCTTCTGAGGAAGGACCCTACACTGATGAACTGTTCACTGTTTGGTTTTTATATAGCAGAAGCCATCTACTGGATACTGGGAAACAAAGATGGTTCAGTGATATCCAGAAAGTGATCAGCATCTTGTAAAGTAGAACTGGGTCTCTTTCCTCATTTTTTGTCTAGCTTTGTATCCATCAACATCACTAGCACAGCCCTGGGCGGCAGCAGATACCCTGTCAGTGGAACGTGTTTAAGACTTTGTGCTTAAGCCACTAGACAGGCATTTGAGAGATTTGGGTTTTCTTCTAGTCTCTCAGCAGTTGTCATGCTAGAACTTTAAATAACGTCCACTTTTTCTGACTATTTCTTGGTCTTCTCGCTTAAAGCACTGGAGACTGACTTGCTTGTCAAAAGGAATAGAACACGTTTTTCTCATCGATGAGTCTGCTGACTCCTCTTTCGCTTGAACTTGGTTACACTAGGCTCTAATATAATGCTCATTGCTATGTCAGCCCCCTTCTGGGTGTTTTTACTGCACAGAAAAACATAAACAGCATCTCTGCTACCACAGATATCTTTTCTACTGAAACAGATATCTGAGTTCTTGGGCTGCATGCACAGGTGGTCTGTCTCCTCCTTCACTTAACAGGTGGCAAGTGCAGCGTAAAGTTGTTGCCATTCCCAAGAGTGTCACTCCTGCTCGCATTCTGCAGAATCTCCAGGTAAGCAACCTGATTCCCTTCACTGTTGTAAGAGAGCAGTTCAGATGGAGAACAAGAGTTTCAGCAATGCTCTTTTGTATGAATAATACAGTGTCTGAACACTTGCTAACAGAGGCACTTGTCCCATACTTGTTCCTAAGTGCGTGCCCTCAGAAGGGAGGATAAGGATATTTGGTAAACACACTTGTTAAGTTCCAAGCAAATAAGCATGCGTGTGTGTTTGTGTGTGTGTGTGTGCACGTGTGTGCATGCACATGCACAGTCACAGCCTTCTTTTGTTGTCAAAAGTCTAAGCGAAAATTCTTTATCATTTACCAAAGACAGTCTTTACTGATATTTCTAAAATATCAGTTAAAATTTTATGTAAATATTATTAAAGACTTCCTTGTTCAGTGGTTCTTATTTACAAATAACAGTTCTGCAGCTGAGGACTGGTGACTATTTCTGCAGCAAAGCTCCATTCTAACAATACTGAAGGAACAGAATTAGTGTGATTCACTCCTGCTGTAAGGACAATTCACTTTACTTCAGCAATGACTTGAAAACTCTGGCTGGCAGCAACGTGGAGGGAAGCCTCTGAATCTCCTCTTGTGATCTTTATTAAGCCCTTAGTCATGCAGACTGGATGGTTACATATATATTTTTAAGTTAGGATTTGTTTGTGCAAACATTACTCCTGTTAAACCAAATTCTGCCATATAGTATGCTGCTAAACATTTTGAAAAATGCCAGTAAACGCGGTGCAGTTATTCACTCCAGATTTAGATCTACATGGGAACAGAATATTGATTTCAATAGGCAGCGCTTACTTGGAGAAGCTTCTCACTGATTTCTACCTGTGTGGAAGAGTGCTACGCAGTATCAGTGAAGGCTTAGAACTGGCCAGTGAACGCAGACCTTGGGCTTTAAGCCTTTGTTTTAGTGTTTGTTATAGAATGGATTAAACTACAACTGCATATTTGCAAACAAAAGATGAAACCCTGCCTGAAGCCAAGATTTTTAAAGATAGATACGTGACTTTGATTCATCAGAGTTGTATGGAAATTCCCTCTATTTGAAGCAGGAGCATATCCAAGTTGCAGCTTCTGAAGATGTTTGAAATATTGTAACAAGTAGCATGATGTTTAATTTACTTGGGCTCTAACACGAGGATTTAGAAACTGTAATATAGCATGGAGGTTTCCTTTTTGAAAGTCTAAAAGAAATATTATGTAACTACAGCTTAATAAATTATTCCAGTCTCCTTTGTGGGTCTGTGGGTTTGCATCGGTTACAAGACGTCATAGCACTGTTATCTGAAAAGAAATGCTGAAAGAGTCAAAATGTCTCAAGTCACTGCTGCTGTTTCATTCTGTCATGGTTTGCTGAGAGGTGAAAGTTTTCCGCCTTTAAATCAGCTCTACTACTTTTGCATCTGTGGAGAAATTCGGAGCACAAGGAGATGATTGTGACTTATAAAAAAAACCAAGAGGCAAAAATCTACAGAAGTTAAATATGAAAAGCGTATGATTATTGAATGAAGACTTTTTCATTTATTTATTTATTTATTTATTTATTGCCACTAGGTGTTTGACTTCAGTCTCACAGAAGAGGAGATGAGCCACATTGGGAGCCTGAATAAAAACTGGCGTTACATTGTGCCAATGATTACGGTAAATCTCTCTTATGTTTCTAATAGTTTTGATTATGTCCGCTTGGCCACATCTTGGAGTTTCTGCCTTTTGCTTTCTTCCTTTTGCTGTCTCCTGTCAGAACTACTTATAAGTAAGAGTGCTACATCTTGTTAGGGTATCTAAGCTGCAAACATTTTTCAAAAAAATTTTTTTCAAGATGCTGCCCTTTTTTTTTTTTTTTAAAACCCATTTTCCTCCTCCAAATCCTTTAGCAGCAGCATCCTTTAGCATCATCACCGTTTCCTCTGTCACTTGAAGCGTTACCTCATATGCTGTCAGACACCAGTTCTACTAGACAGGTCTATGCTTTTTTAGTGTTCAAGTCCTTTTGTTTTTTCTTATAGTGCAGAACCAATCTCTGTCCTTTTCTCCTTACTGCAGAAAACTTCAATTCCTTCTTGTTTCCTGTCTTTATAGTTGTGTTCATCCATTCTTACACATGCATTGTCCTGCTTCTGCCCTTACAAAAGGTAATTGTTGCCACTCCCTGATGGCCAAAAAATGGCAACTGTTCTATAATAAATCTTAAGTGATTTGTCCCTTCTCTATGAGTCAGTACACTGCATAGATACAGTAGATCTCTGTGTAAATTTGGAAGCTGTCAATCATGCCCTTGGCTCCAAGCAGTATGTCTGCCTTCCTGTAAATTCTCCTAGGATAGTCAGTGGTTACTGGCTCTAGGAGTTCTTTGGGGAAGGCATTTCTCCAGTATTTATCACTGAGTTTTTGGAGTGCTTGAGAGCATGTCAATGACTGGCCTACCAATGTGAAAAGAGAAGTTATAAATGGGCACGACTGTCTTGAATCAAGGGCAGGTATTTGTTACAGCTTTCACTGTTTGTCATGCTGCGGCTTACAAGAGCTTCAGGGCCACGATTTTAACTGTAGCGTTGCTTCAATATGTGTGTGTATAGATATCCCTCTTCCCCCCCCATCCCCGCAACCAGAATTCTTGGTGCGTACGGATCGGGAGTCTGCGCGCCATGCGTGCAGCTAGGCCGGCTGTGTGTGTGAATGCAGTGGTGACAAGCACACCTGTTGCTGACAGTATGGTTCTTTCAAGTGTTTTGCTAGTCGTGCTGCCAACAAAATTGTTTTGTTAATGAAGCTGCAAGATGCGTTTAAAAATGTAGGCTGGACTTGGACTGGCCAGGGATAATTCATGTGCTTTTGTTTCCTGGGAGACGTTGTCAGATCAAAATGATTCACAAAGAAGAGATGAAATATAGTTCAAAGTGCTGGTCCATCCAAGCAGAGGAAGGGTGAATGTGATGCAGCGGAGCTTCAAAGATATTGCCATGTTGTCAGATAACAAGACAGGAAAAAAACAAGATGAGGAGAATTAAAATGGGACTCTGTAGCTGTAAGGTCTCTAGCAGAACCTTTTGTCTCCTGCCCACCCCTCTGGGCTTATCAGAAAGAATTTTCATTATCTCTGAATTAAAATTAAAATTCCTGGCTAACCTTTCATGCCTGTCTCCTCTATGAACCTAATTTGTAGTGTCTGGATTTCAAAGGGTGATATGGCAGTGACATCAGAGCTCCTGTTATCATAACTGACAAGACACAGTTTTTCCTTGTTTTACCACGTTGATATATAACCACAAGGTCTTACAGTTGTGCCATTTTTCTCCATATTATTTCTTTGTTGAAAGCCTGAGGTTATATTTGCATGAAGGCAAAATAACGTTAAATAACGTTAAATAACGTTGCTTGATACTTGGAAAGATCATCACTGGGATAGAGATTGAAAACTGTTTAGCCATACCTGGGGCCAGCCTGAAACCCAAACTTCTGGAAACATATAATAGGCCAAGGAATGTATTTGAGTGACCAGCAAGCAGGAGAGGAGGAGTGACAATGTTCCTGTGCACATAATGATCTCTTTTTGATAATGAACACACTGTAGATCCACAGTAGTTAATTGGTGGGGGTTTTTCCCCCTGCCTTCCCTCCAGTTCCTGTGGTAGACTGAAAACAGATATGTGCGCGTTTACTTGAAGAGCTATTCTGTGTAGCGAAATACGGCAGGAAGACATGGGCAAAAATGAGGAATATAAATTCTGGGAACATGAGGAGGTTGTTGGGTTTCAGTAGAGTATGAGGAAACCTGGAGATACTATGACTGTTTTGTCCACAGAGTTTTACTGATTGTTGTCAGTTGATGGTTTTCTTTTATTTTAACCTGAGTATCAGTAATATTAAACTTTACCGTCTTAGTTGTTCTGCTCTGTAGTGCCCCCAAGTGACTAATGTCATTACTAGGAATTCCAGTTGTTGCTTTCAAATGCAGAATTGATACTGAAAGCTAGAGGGACTCGCTAGTGGATACTTGGTTTAAAAGGCCCGGTAATTTCCCCCCCTGCCCTCCCTTCCCCTACACTCCCATAACGTTTTGAATGATCTCTAACATTTATATCTCATCAGTGATATCTCTAACATTTATATTCAATCATTAGTCATTTAATAGAAGTTTGAGCTGAATGATGCTAGCCTGTCACACTAGGGAGGTGTATCTCCTCGCTGATGCCACACTTAATTCCCTCAAACATACAGTTTAGGAGCAAGGTTTTTACCCCAGCTCCCGCTCAGTGGGGTGTTGCAATAGACTGAACGCATCTAGGACTGCAGCCTGTGCACCTGAATGGTTAGACGTGGGGTGTAGGAACTGGGACTTCTGTATGGCTAGGTCTGCTTTTGGGCCAGCCTGAGCTTCTGTTCCATTATTCCTGAACATTAGTTTCAGCTCTCCCATTTCACAGCTGGAGGAACTGATCTGCCTTGGAAATATTCTTAAACTCACAAATGAAAAGTGCTATGAAAGAGTTCAGTGACACTGTTTGTGCTTCCGTGTATGACCTTGAGTAAACTATTTAATTTGTTTCCTCATGTCCATCTGTAAAACTTAACATCCCAGCAAGTCTCTGTCTTGGAAAGATAGGCGAAAGCTCTGATTTTTATAAAGTGTTTTGAAGTGTGCCTGTTACAACGCTTATTCAATACTACTGCAAGGCAAAAAGATTAACTATTCTTAATCCAGTTCTTCAAGTCTCAGCAGCTGGAATTCCGGAAGACTTTTGCTTCAGGCTACGGAAATCTTGTTTTGTTTTGTTTTGTTTTCTCTTTCGAGAAGAACTAACAGCACTTGGAGTAGAGGGAACAGCTCTTGCTAAACTGAAAAAGTTGATTGTACACATTTGGTATATGAATAATTTCAAATGCTGCATAGTTTAGATTTGTAACTAAGAGTAAGGTGGTTGTTATGACTTAAGCTTATCTGTTTGCTTCACAGGTGAATGGAAAGCTAGTAGCAAGAGATGCTGGACACCCCCACTACCCCTTCAATGACCCCTATTAACTACTGGAAAATAAGGTGTTAGAATAACATGCTCCTCTGGGTGCCCTTCCACAAAGTAATTGTTGCCACCGTTTATCAAAAAGCCTGTCCAAATAAAACCTTCCTTTCTGAATAGGAGGCCTGAGAAGGTTTACCTATATATACTGCTTTTAATTGACCTCCTTTCTGAAGATATTGTAGCTTCCATGTCAAAGTTTGTGGGATTTGTTACAATGACTGCAAGCTTGCTCCTGGAAGCATCAAATGTTTTGGGGATTAGACAGAGTGGTGGAGTCCAAATCAAGCTCCAAGCGCTTCATAATTGGGCTAGGGCAATAGTTTGGATTTACTGTATGTAAAACGGTTTTGAATTCTTTAGTTATTACCACGAGAGAGGGGGGGGGGGAAAAAAAAAGGAGGGGAGGGGACAAAGCAGTAGCATGAAACCATTTTCTGACTAAACAACTGCTCAGTTATTGACTTTGATATCCTTATTAGCGTTTTTATACAGGGAACAAAGTGAAAGTGCTATGGTTGCGCTATGTCTGTAAAGCATTAATTACAGCCCAAATAACCAGCCACGTCCAGTGTTTTTTATTCCCTTTAGAGTACTTGTGGGACTTTGATCTGCATTTTCTTTTTCTTTTAACTGTTATGTGAACTTGAGGGAAGTAAATGCATATCCGGGAGCAGGCCTTCAGGGTAATCCTTTCTGTTACTTGTCGCAAAGATAGGTTTTAGCTCTGGCAATGACCGATTGTCCCATCGCAAAAGCATCAATAACTTTGTTAGCAAGTCTTGGGGAAATCCATCCTGCCTTACCCATAATGTTGTCCAGTGTGTCTTAACCAAAGATGTCCAGTTTGAGTTCTGGAAGATCACAGAATTAGTTCCTGACTATATAATAAGACTGACTATAATAAGAGCAAAGACCTAGGCCCCTTCTATTTTAATGTGTCCTTTTCAATTGCTGTCTGGGCTGGGACTTGGGATAGCTGGTCCTGTCCCACATTCTACCACTGAGTCATTTGCCTTTTCTGTGCCTCTGTTTTCCAACTTGCCATGTCTCTGTGTTGTTCTGAGGCAGGGACTAATTTACTGAGTGCTGATGTACCATTGAGTACTGCTGGATCTCTAGCAGTAACAACATTTTGTTTTGTTTTAGTCTCCCAGTAATGAATTGTCTAGCCATCTGAGTATAAAAGGGTGTAAGGTGTTAAACAGTGCTCTGATAGTAATACCATTTGTGGCCTTACCAATGTTGTTTAACTTTTTGACTTTTTCTACCTGTAAAATAGGACTGATGCTTATTCGCCATTGTGCAGACATGGTAACAAGGCACAGTTTCTAAAGCTTATCAGAATTAAAACAGAGGGATTCTTTCAGATCCATTGATGCCATTCAGAGAGTGTCGTAGGCAAGAGTTCTGGTTAACTGCTGGATAAAGAAAGCGTAACTAACTGTAAGTGAAATAAAGAACGCTTTTTTTTTCCCCATAGCAGTAACAACCCTCTGTATTCAAGTAGTTCAAAAACTTAAAAAAATATGTACTATCTTAGTTTTGCTACCTTTATTTCATTTGTAGTAGGCCTGTATTAAAACCATATAGCATAATCTCGAGCATAATGCAGGCCAGTGTCTCCTCAGGTATTTTCTGCTATGAGCTGCACAGCAGGCAGATGAATTGGAACAAATCTAATTTTTAAATAAACATTACAAAAAGCGATAAAAGAATTTTTCTGTCCCTTAGCAAAGTGTTTTCTAATGCAGTCTACTGCTGAACTTACTTGAGTACAGAAAACCATTACAACTCGGTGAGGTTTCTTTACTAGACTGGAAGGGAGACAAATCTATGTGTTTTTTTTTTTTTTATTATTCTAATCAAACATGGATGACTTGGAGTATGGTTCCTGCTGCAAATCAATAAGGAAGCAATTTTACTTTGAAGGCGCTTTGTAGAATGATAACAGCAGTCCTCCTGTCAAGAAAAATGGCTTTTGTCACTTGTATTTCCACTTGTATGTTTGCATGCTTTAAATAAATATTGTATTCAGTGTATGACTTTGAGACTTCCTCCTGCCCCCCCCCCCAAATGTCAGGGGGCCAATTAACTTTTTCTAGTTACTTCTCTAAACAAGGGGATATAAGTAAGTAGGCAGAGAGAAGTCCCAAGAAAAGCTGGTGATTCCCTGCTTATGCCCTCAGCTCTGTTACAGTTTGGAGCCCCCCAAATGTCAGGAGGCCAATTAACTTTTTCTAGTTACTTCTCTAAACAAGGGGATATAAGTAAGTAGGCAGAGAGAAGTCCCAAGAAAAGCTGGTGATTCCCTGCTTATGCCCTCAGCTCTGTTACGGCCTGGAGGAACCCAGCACAGCTGAAGCTGCTGAACTCTTATTTTGAAATGGCACAGGGGGAAATGTGCCTCCAGGTCTGCGCCAATGGGTTTGCTGCTGCTGTGCGAGTTTTCTGGAGGTCTCGGCTGTCACAGCTGCAGCAGCCATGTCTGTGTTGTCTGCTGCCTTGCATGTGCTGTGGAGAAAGCCTCCCCGGGAGCTCGGTGGGAGCCGGTTAACTGCCTGCCTTAGATAGACGGTGCAAGCGCCATGATGTTGCTGCCGTGCCAAGGGTGGCGGGAGAGAGAAAACAGGAGCTCTCTAATAAATG